TTGCTGCCACCACCTCACTCCCTCCCTTCACCCGTGTAGCAGCAGTCAAGCGTGTGACGTTCGAGCCCTCACGAGCTCCCGCCCTTTACAAACACCGTTTTTCGGGTAGTGCAAACACTTGCAGCGAGAGAGAGAGAGAGAGAGACCGCGAGAGAGGGGTGATGGCACGCTTTAACATTTATGCACGCCGGCAGGCCAGGTGAATGCATGCGTAAGTATGGAAGCAAACTAAGCCATATATAGCCTCACTGTGACTCGTGCACAGCTACACTAATAAGTGGGTGGAGCCGGGTTAGCTAAGCACAGCGATAATTATATACGCATATATAGCGCGCACGCGAAGCAAAAGAACCCGTATGATTGATGTATGGGCTGACATTTATAATACAATACACAATTATAAGTCATCACGACAAAGCAATATCATTATCATTATATACAATAGAGTATACACGGAGGGTGAGCGGGGAGAAGTAGGGTGCTTGGATGGGGAGCGGTAAAGTGTTAAACGTGAATAGTTTTCCCTGTAGAGAAGAGAGTAGGGCAGGTAAGGTGTAACAATGTTATTAGTTTCACCTGTAGAGGGGGAGTAGGGCAGGTAAGGTGTGACAATCTTATTAGTTACACCTGTAATCAACACAGTGCGTGCAAGGTTGTCCACACACACACACACACACACACGTTCATATATCAATGACGCCCCAGTTTCAGGGAACAATTACTGTCGTTATGCGCCACAGAAATACCTACCTAATAATTATGGGGCGCCGATTAAAAATACAATGAAATATGGCAAATATTATGATAGTATCAGGTTCAGTATTAATTCTAAGTAAATATTTGAAAAACTAAATATACTAAACATCTGAGAAGTAGGCCCTAATATATAGCATGAAAATCACGACATTAAATAAATATAAATAATATATATCATATCCCCCCGAAAAAAAAATCCCCATGAAAACACCATACCTGACGACACGTAGCCACTTGTTCCGTTGCCGTTGACGACGACGCCCGACTGTCGCGCCATCTGGTTGTTGCTGTAGCGCTCGTCGCGCCTGTAGCTCATCGGTTCGCGCACGTACGGGTCGTGCCTGTAGGGCTCACTGCGTGCGGACTGGGCATCATCGGGCCTACGTGAGTACGGCTCCTGGTATGTGTACGCTGAACGCGGTGAGTGGTCCGTGCGCCTTACGTACGCGTCGTGGTAGCCACTGTAGGGAAGGAGAAACACCGGGGAGAAGCAATTAATGACTAGCTAATCATAAATTAATCATTCACTTACACACACGCACACGCACACCACCACCACCACCACCACCACCACCACCACCACCAGCAGCAGCAGCAGCAGCAGCAGCAGCAGCAGCAGCAGCAGCAGCAGCAGCAGCAGCAGCAGCAGCAGCAGCAGCAGCAGCACCGCAGGGCTGGTGCCATCGTGAGCTGGCTGGCTGACACCGAGGCATGCACGCCCTCTGCACACCGCTAAGGTGGTAATTATAGCTAGGTCACTGTCCCCCGAACACACACACACACATATATATATACATATATACATCGACTCAGGAAAACAGCACCTACTAGGCAGTCCACCCACCACCCACTTCTGCGAATGACCACGACTCGAAAACAGCAGCTATTCGGGTGTCCACCCACCACCCACTTAATTCTGCGAATGACCACGACTCTAGCGGTAACAATGCACGGACTACCAGAAATGACCATTGCTCTCTGGCGCACCTTGACCACCTACAACTGCGAATGGCTGATCAAAAAACATTGTGGAGAGGTGAACATGATTGAATTAATTATTAAAAAAACACAATCTGGATAATGACAAGGAAATCCTACGAAAATTCTAACAACGTCAGTTGATCTGCATGAATCTCCATTATACTCTGATGCATTTTTACATTCCAGAGACGATTGCAGTAGAGCACATATGATCAGAAGTGTCATTATATTATATATATATATTATCAGGGGTTATAATTTTGTCAATTTGTCAATTAATTTGTCAAAATCATTCATCAATCAATGTGTCCTTATTAACCCATAATATTATCTATGTATACTCCTGATATTGATGAGTACGTACTCCAGACATAACACTAACCACGGATGACAGAAGAACCACCAATGCGACAGACAACACGTCAAGACAACCAGCGTGTCCACACAGATGCAAATATATCACACGGCAACAGGCGCCGAACAACATATATATCTAAAACTGTTCGCAGGTTCGCCACACTGTACATATATACATATATATATACACAGCGATAGAGTTGAGCCATAATGCAAACATCACAGGTGAAGACAGCAACGACTTCCTGACCAGCTTGTAATTAACTCCACACCTGTATATACATGCATAATTATATAATATTGCAAATATGCATTATTGTCATTGTACTCGTATATTCTTGCGCACATAACGAGTAGCCGCTATATGAGATTTCTTTCAGCGCTTTCAACGTTCAACCAAATCAACTTGGTATTATAAGAACAATCGAAATCAGGACTCAAACATCCACACACAACCACGCACGCACGCACAGACACACATACGCGCGCGCGATCACACTGACAGATAAAGAGTAGTTAAGAGTGGGTGGCCAGGGTTGTTTGAACACTAATTTTCACACGTGAGGAGAACATTTGTGTAGGAAACTTTTCTCGTGCCCTCTTTCTCTATCTCTAGGCTCACAGGCACTTGAAGCGTTTCAATAAAATATAATGCTAAATAAATACGAAATCTAGCTATTTACTACCAAAGTCTTAATGTTTCTATACTCTTTATCTTCTCTACACATAAATATATAGTTCTTTTATTTCTATTTTATTTTATGTTTAGTTATATTTATGTGTCAGTGTGCAGCGGCAGCCATGGCGACAGCCATCGTTTGTTGCAGATGAGCATTTGGACGGCATTTGCAGGAAATTGTCGGCAATAATAGGTGAAAGAGAGTATAGAAACATTAAGACTTTGGTAGTAAATAGATATCGCATTTATTTAGCATTATATTTTATTGAAACCCTCCAAGTGCCTGTGTGTAGGCTCACGCACGAGCACCCAGCTAGTCTGCTGCTGCTTATCCTGATGCTGCTGCTTATCCTGCTGCTGCTGCTGCTTATCCTGCTGCTTATCCTGCTGCTGCTGCTGCTGCTGCTTATCCTGCTGCTTCTGCTGCTGCTTATCCTGATGCTGCTGCTTATCCTGCTGCTGCTGTTTCTGCTGCTGCTGCTGCTGCTGCTGCTGCTTATCCTGCTGCTACTGCTGCTGCTGCTGCTCCGGATGCTGCTGCTGCTGCTACTGCTCCTGCTACTGCTACTGCTGCTGCTGCTGCTGCTGCTGCTGCTGGTGGTGGTGGTGGTGCTGCTGCAGCTGCTGCTGCTACGGCTACTACTGCTGCTGCTGCTGCTGCTGCTGCTGCTGCTTTTGCTGCTGTTGGTGGTGGTGGTGCTGCTGCTGCTGCTTCTGCTACTGCTACTGCTACTGCTACTGCTGCTGCTGCTGCTGCTACTGCTACTGCTACTGCTGCTACTGCTGCTGCTGCTACTGCTGCTGCTGGTGGTGATGCTGCTGCTGCTGCTACAGCGGCCTACCCTCCGGCTCTCACCTTATATACCACTGCGATAACCAGGCTATAAATCTGCAGCGATCTGCCTCGGATACATTTATAGTTTATACGGACCCGCCATAATTACGTGAGAGTAATCGCTGGCTTGACAGCACAGACTGTGTCCGTGCGCGCGCGTACGTGCGTGCGTGCGTGCGCGCGTGTGGTGTGCGTACGCGCGCGCGTGGTGTGCGTGCGTGCGAAAGATCTGTCGGAAGCCAGCGTGCAATAGAGAGCTCGTGCGTATTTCCACTCTCACGCAGGCCATATACATGTATGCTACCCGGCCACCTCCCCATGTTTGCTTCACATGCGCCACATACATCACCTAGAGATGCAAGGAATGCCGCATCAGCCGCCGTGTTCACATAACGAGTCGTCAAAAGGAAGCAAAAGGAAGCTAAAGATTTCATTAGGGGCCACTTCGTAGCAAAACCCTCATTACGAAGCCACGTGTATTGTTTGTTGCCGCCTGGGCCGTGCTGGCAATTGATATCAATGCAGTGTCTCTATTTCTGCATTCTATCAATAGCTAATATTACCTATGTAATAATATATATGTATTATTAGCTCTTGATTCTATATATCTGTAATTCATATATATATATATACATATATATATATATATATATATATATATATATATATTCGCGCGCTATTTTCTTTTCTCTCGCCATGCACTTGTCCCTGACACGGGGCGACTTTCATGATAAGGTAGATTTCAGGGGGGCGTGGTCGTACGCAGGTAGGCATGCAGGCAGCGTTTGTGTGGAACCTGCACAACACTTCTATGCTAGCACCTTGTTTTGCTACGTGCAGCTGGCGGCCCGCTAACACAGGCGGGTGGATAAACCCATTCGGTAGACGAATGGCATACTTACAGCTCCCATTCTTCTTCCAATTCTTCTTCCCATGCGAACGAATAAAACCATAACGGTAAAACCCCTTTTTTATGATACGTAATCGTTATGGTGATATAACTTTAATTTTAGAGTAATATAATCTGATGGTGTGTATCCGGTCGGGTATCCGCCGCCCCAGTCCAAGTCAATATTCCACTAACGACAGTAGCACAACACCCAAGGCATTCAGAATATAATAATATCCAGTAATAATACGAAAAAATCCAGAACAAATAAGTCATCCATAAGCACAACCATAAAAATAATATACTATTTAGACTTATGGTGTCTCTATATATTTCTATGAGTATAACCCTTACATTCACCCCCCCCCCAAAAAAAACACGGAGAAAGTTGGCACGTTACCAACAAACCCTAAAGCTGGGTTTACACGGACGATTTTGTGTTGCCGAATTGCCAAATTGGACGAACTTGGCCAGTTGGCAACTGACAATCGGCAGTGTAAACGCAAAAGTTGGACGACCAACCCCGATCGGGCGCAGCGAGTTGGGAAATTAGAATTCTAAAGCTGGGTTTACAGTTTTTACACTGACGATTTTAGGCCGATTTTATGCAGGCGACTTGGCGTTTTTCTTCTTTCTACCAACCTCTCTATAAATATTCAAAGCGCTGTCGCCGCGGCGCGACCGCGACCACGAGGTGGCAAAAGTTTCAACATTTGACCCGTAGGCACGCGCGGGGCGACCCCGATACGAATTTTTACATGCCGCCAGCGTGGCGCCGATAGCAAAAACGTGCTCTCCCCCTAGGATGGAGACACACGCCTTCTGATTGCTGTTCTCTGATTGGCCACTTGGCAAAAAAACGTCCGACTCAACTGCTCCGAGTCGGCGAACCAACTGGCCAATTTCGTACAATTTGGCAATTCGGCAACACAAAATCGTCAGTGTAAACCTATGGGAGGAGATGTGTCCCAATTCAAATGTACAATTGATCGATTGATTGTTCAATTGAACTCGATTGATTGTTCAATTGAACAGTCGTTTAACATTCAATCGTTCAATTGATCGTACTTGATTGTTCAATTAAACAAGTCGTTTTAATCATTCAAACGTTCAATTGAGCAATTAAATAACGAATTGCCAAATTGCCAAATCAAAGGCACGAATACTGAATAGGCGTATTGAATCATGGAATCGAGCAATTGCGAGGCTCGTCAATCGCCAAATCCAAACATATACCTACTGCACATGCGCACAGCGTGCACGTGCGTGTACCCGCGTGTACGCCCGCGTGTACGTCGTGTACCCGCGTGTAACGTGCTGTACCCGCGTGTACGTGCGTAATTGTTCCCCAAGTGGCCAATCAGAGAACAGCAATCAGTAGGTGTGTCCTCCATCCTATCGGCGTTATGGCGTCGCCCCGCGCGTACCTACGGGTCAAATGTTGAAACGTTTTGCCGCCTCGCGGCCGATAACGTAAGCGCTTTGAATATTATGAAAGGAGGGAGTTAGGTAGAAAGAAGAAACCTGCATAAATCGGCCTAAAATCGTCAGTGTAAACCCAGGCTGGCTTAGCTGGCTCAGGCACACTAGCGCAGCGTAATATATATATATAATATATATATATATATATATTATATATATATATATATATATATATATAACACACACATAGGCGTTAGCTAGACTAAACGTGGGTGTAGCCGGCTGACGACTATGGTTT